GTAAAGATGGTAAGAAACCATAAGTACAGCATTCAAGATATATGGGATAACATAAAAAGACCAAATTTAAGAGTTACTGGGATAGAGGGAGGCATAAACCAAACCAAAAAAATGAACAATCTATTCAATGAAATAATATCAGAAAATTTGTCAAACATGAAGAATGAATTGGAAAATCAAATACAAGAGGCTTACAGGACTCCAAATGTACAAAATCATAACAGATCCACACCAAGGCACATTGTAATTTAAATGCCTAGCATACAGAATAAGGAAAGAATTTAAAACCACAAGAGGAAGGAATCAGATTACATATAGGGGGAAAACAATTAGGATATCTGCAGATTTTTCAACCCAGACCCTGAAAGCTAGAAGGTCCTGGAACAACATATACCAAGATCTGAAAGAAAATGGATGCCAATCAAGAATCTTATATCCAGCAAAATTAAGCTTTAGATTTGATGACAAAATAAAAACTTGCCATGATAAACAAAAGTTAAAAGGATTTACAACTAGAAAGCCTGTAGTACAGAACATCCTTGGCAAAATATTCCATAAGGAGTAAACAAAAAACAATAAAAATCAGCAAAGGGAGGTATTATGCTAAAGGAAATATCAAGTTAAATACCAAAAATAAATAAATACAACCAGGAATACAAATCATGTCTCAATAATAACCCTGAATGTTAATGGCATAAATTTACCAATCAAGAGAGACAGACTGGCAGATTAGATGGAAAAAAAAAGACCCAATAATGTGCTGCCTGCAAGAGACTTATCTCATTGGAAAAGACATCCACAGACTGAAGGAGAAAGGTTGGGAAAAAATATACCACTCACATGGACTGCAGAAACAAGCACGGGTTTTTATCCTCATATCAAATAAAGTAGGCTTCAAGCCAAAGTTAATCAAAAGGGATAAATAAGAACATTTCATATGGCTTAAAGGAACCATACATCAACAAAAGTAATAAATATATATATGCCCCAAATAATGGAGCATCTACATTCATCAAACAAACTCTTCTCAAGTTCAAAAATCAAATAGGCCAAAACACAATAATTCTGGGTGACTTTAACTCACCTCTTTCACCACTGGATAGATCTTCCAAATAAAAGCTAAACAAAAAAACTACAGAACTCGGTAATACAATCAATAACTTAACAGACATATAGAATAGAGTATTTCATCCATCAACAAATGAATACACTTTCTTCTCAGCAGCACATGGATCCGTCTCTAAAACAGACCATATATTATGTCACAAAGCAACTCTTAGCAAATACAAAAAAGTAGAGATACTACCCTGTATTCTGTCAGATCATAATGGAATGAAATTAGAAATCAATGATAATATAAAAAACAGAAACTACTCCAACACCTGGACAATAAATAATATGCTATTGAATGAACAAGGGGTTGCGAAAGACATCAAGGAGGAGATTTAAAAATTCTTAGAGGTAAATAAGAACACTGACACAACATATCAAAATCTCTGGGAAACTACTAAGGCAGTACTAACAGGAAAACTCATTGAATGGAGTTTGTTCCTTAAAAGAAGAAAAAGTCAACAAATAAATGACCTAACATTACATCTCAAAGCCCAAGAAGACAAAGAATAAACCAAGGCCAAAAGCAGTAGAAGACAGGACATAATTAAAATCAGAGCTTAAATCAATGAAATTGAAACAAAAGAAACAATTAAAAAATTTAAAAAAAGAAAAAGTTGGTTATTACAAAAAATAAATAAAATTGATAAACCCTTAGCTATACTAACAAAGAGAAGGAAAGAGAAAATTTAAATTACTAACATCCATGATGAGAAAGGAAATATCACGATGGACACTACAGAAATACAGAAGATAAATTAGAAATTATTTTGAAAATTTGTACTCCAATAAAATAGAAACTATCAAAGGCACTGAAAAATCTCTAGAGTCATATGATTTCCCCAAACTGAATCAGGATGATATGCACAAATTAAACAGATCAATTTCAAGCAATAAAATAGAAGATGTCATCAGAAGCCTATCAACCAAGAAAAGCATAAGACCGGATGAATACACAGATGAGTTCTACAAGACATTCAAAGAATAAATACCAATACTTCTCAAATTATTTCATGAAACAGAAAAAGAGGGAATACTTCCAAACTCATTCTATGAGGCCAATATCATCCCGACTCCAAAACCAGAAAGAGAACATATCAAAGAAAGAAAACTTCAGACCAATATCTCTAATGAACACAGATGCAAAAATTCTCAATAAAATTCTAGGAAATCAAATACAAAAACATATAAAAGATGGCATACCACGATCAAGTGGCATTCATCCCAAGGGTGCAAGGATGGTCCAACATATGGAACTCAATAAATGTAATTCATTGTGTCAATAGACATAAAAGAATCATATGATCATCTCAATAGATACAGAAAAAACACTCAACAAAATACAACACCCCTTCATGTTCAAAACACTAGAAAAACTAGGGATAACAGGAACATATCTCAACATTATAAAAGCTATCTATGCTATGTCCAAGGGCAATATCACTCTAAATGAAGAAAAATTGAAAGCATTCCCTCTAAAAACTGGAACAAGACAAGGATGCCCTCTTTCACCTCTTCCATTTTAACATAATTCTTGAAACTCTAGCCAGAGCAATTAGACAGAAAATAGAAATTAAAGAGATGTGGATAGGAAAAGAAGAACTCAAACTATCACTATTTGCCAATGACAGGATTCAATATCTAGAGGATCCAAAAAATTCCACCAGAAAACTTCTAGAACTTATAAGTGCATTCGGCAAAGTAGCAGGATATAAAATCAACACCTATAAATCAAAAGCATTTCTGTACATCAGTGACAAATCCTCTGAAAGAGAAACTAGTAAAACTAACCCATTTACAGTAGTCTCAAAAAAATCAAATAAAATACTTGAGAATCAACTTAATGAAAGAGGTGAAAGACCCCTATGATGAAAACTATAGAACACTAAAGAAAGAAATTTAAAAAGACCTTAGAAGAGAGAAAAATCTCCCTTGTTCTTAGATAGGCAGAATTAATATTGTCAAAATAACCATACTACCAAAAGCACTATATCAATTTAATGCAATTCCAATCAAAATTCCAATGACATTCTTCATATAAATAGAAAAAGCAGTCATAAAATTCCTCTGGAAAAACAAGAGACCAGAATAGCCTACAACGAGTAGACATTTGGACTGGAAGCCTTGGCTCTAGTAGTCAGATTGGATACAAATTATTAACTGAGAAAAATAGCTGATTAAGAGCTAGAGACTTGAGTGCTAGCAGATGAATTCAAATTCTAGGTACAAATTACACTGGCATTCTAACTTTGAAAAAGTAACTATCTCTTTATACATTAATTTCCTCATCTGTGAAATGGAGACGTAATCTCTCTCTCATTGGTCACTGTGAAGCCAAATGAAAAGAATATATCCGATGCGGGAGGGATGCTGACTAGCATGTGACTGGGTCCATCTCCCCTGCTGAGTGGTGTGGTCAGGCTGCTAGATAGCCTGGATCTTCTAGGGTTCCAGCCACTATGTCTCCTGCATAGGCGTGCCTTCCTACAGCCCCATGGATCGAGCTACACTCACCTGTTACTTCTTGCCCTGTTTCAGATAGAATGTTCCATGGAATCACCTTTTGTGTGTCCCCTTCTCTTACACAGCCCTTGGGTGTGGCCTGTCTATATGTCAGTCAACCTGCTGACAGCAGACATCATGAAGCTAGACTCAGCCCCTTGAAAACTGACCTCTTGCCTCATTTGAATAGCTTCTCCTCCATAAAAGGGGTCAGCACATGGTCTCTTCTCTTTCTGTGCCAAGGGACCCTTAAGGTCAGAGGAGCTGTCACAGCACCCCCAAAGATAAATGTATTTCTGTCTCTTGTGTGGTATTTTCAGCAGCCCAATTAGCTCAGTTCCCCTGAAGTGACCCCTGAGTGTTTTAGTTGCGAGCAACCCGCAAGTGATGTCCCTGGGTGGGCAAAAAGGTCTAAGTGCTTAAACCGCCTGAACAAAAGCCATAATCCGAAGCACTCAGAACAGAAGCAGAAACATAAGCACTCAGCATTAGCAAAGACAACAACACAACTTGACAACATCAATGGCAACAAGTATCTGTATACCAAATCCAATACTTTGTTTATAGAGAAGACTGTAAAGGAAGTTACATTCTTCTACTTTGCTGCCATAACAGATTAAGATGCTTAAAAAAATAGAAGTTTGTTTTCTTACATTTATGGAGACTGGAAGTACAAAATCAATGTGCTGGCAAGGTTTGGTTTCTGATGAACCTTCCTTTGCTAGCTTTGCTAGAAAGCGACCTTATTGCTATGAAGTGGCCTTTTTTTCTGCGAACATTCACTCCTGATGTATCCTCTGTTATGAGAACATCAGTCCTATTGGATTAGCAGCTTACCCTAATGGTCTCCTTTAACGTCAATTACCTCCTTAATCACCTGACCTCCAAATATAGTCATGTTGTGATTTATGGCTTTACCATATGAATTTGGAATGGGATAAAATTCAGTCCATAACAGAGAGAAAACACTTTTAAATAAATAACAATTTATATTAAAAATATTTATATTTACCACAATGGAGAAATTAAGATTAAGTAAAACTTCTATTAGGTTTTATACAAAGTATCATAAATTTGTGCAAAATATTACCTAGACCACATATAACTAAATAAAAAAATAACATTAATGCATGTAAACTGCCACTGTATGCTGATAAAAACACATTTGCTCTACAATACAAACTTCAAAATGTGTTTACCCACAATGGCTGAAACTAAAATGATAGAGATAATATTAACTATAACTTTAATCAAATCATATATTTTATTTTAATACTTATTATATTTATTAACTTAATGAAATACAGTTTTATTTGGCAAGCAAAAATGTATCAACTGTAACCCCCTATACTATGTATTACCAAAATGAAATACAACTTTTTTTTTACCTGTTGAAAAACATCTGTTCCTTCATCATAGTCCACCATACTGAAAAACAGTTTGTTACAAAAAGCAGATGAATAGCGCCAGGAGTTAGCCAATATTTGGTATTCTTCATTAGCTTGCCTAAAAAGGTAATGGAGCAAATAGAAAACATATCAATATTCAAATAAAAAAGTCTCTAATAGGACAAGTAATCTAGGGCAAGAACTGACAAGTTCTGGTATGAACTGCAAGCTAATAATACAAGTATGGTCTACAAGATAATATTTATAAAAATAAATAAGAACATATTTTATGAGATGAAATTACATACAACTCAAATTTTGCTGCCCATTAATAGTTATATTGCAGTGCAGTCATACTGACTGATTTAAGTATTTCTTAGGGCTACGCTGTAAGGTAAAGGTGAATAGTTGCAACAAAAACTGCTGGGCCAAAAGTTTGACATGCTCTTTTAAAATTTACCAACATTTGTTCAAGGGAATAAAAACATTCTGTGGCATTTGCTATACATATATATGAAATTTTCCAATAATTTTTAGTAAAAGGCACACAGCAATTTTTTAAAATATTTTCATTTGAGTTTAACAGAACAACAAAAATCCTAAGAAAATGTAAAGTTTTAAAGCTATAAATACAGGTATACTTCACCTTTATGTATTTATGTAAAAATGCTTTTAATAAACCTAAAATTAAGCACCAATTTCTCTGAGTACTAAACCAGCTGCCACAAACCTTTTTTTAAGATAATATTTATTCCTGTATTGAACCTATTTTTATTGAACATTTGCCGATTTTCCAGATGATGATATTTCCTACTAGATCTAGGGGAAGGAGAAACAAGAGAAATGGCATTGCAGAAAGAACATAAGAGAAACCAGAAGCAAGAAGTTTAAAAAAAAAAAAAAGAATGCTTCTTCTATATAGTTAACTATTCTCAACTGTTTCTCTCGTCCGCTTCCCCCAAAATGTAAGAAATACAAAGGTAAAGTCCCAAACAGACTGAAACTAGCAGCAGATAAGAAATTTAAACAAATATTGGAAAACAACTAGTGGACAGATTTGATAGAGAAAGCTACAATCTAAGAGGCAATTACAGAACAGTAAGAAATGAGGAAAAACACTAGATTCATAAGCAGCAGAGTCTAGAGATAAAAAAATGATCTGAAAATAAGGGTCTTATAATTAAACTTCTACTATTTGTATAAATAGTACACACAAACTTTTGCCCTCCCCAATCCCAGTGTCAGCCTTTCTATTGTTTAATGACTATAAAAAAAAAAAATCATCAGATATGACAGGAAAACCTCACATAATTTTAAAACAAATTCCCCGAACAAAAGCAGATTCCATAGGTCAAAACACTAAAAAAAAAATGCTGATAGACTTAGAAAAAGTAAAAGACAAGCATAAATTCTTGTGAAATAATACTGTTGAGTCGGAGACAGACAAGAAAGAAAGAAAGAAAGAAAGAAAGAGAGAGAAAAGAAAAAAGAGTTTATTACTTAATTTTTGTTTGCATTAGTTCTCACTGCCCCCAATCTCATAGAGTAACACAAAGGCCCCTCATGGATGCCTACACTTATAGTCGCTTGTGTTACAGGAGAGAAATACTAAGTTTGGAGGACTGTTAACAAGCCTGTGCTCTGTGCTTTAGTTGTCTGAGACATCTAACTCCTCAAAGCTTATCGCTATACACAAAACCCTGAGAAACTGCACAGGCAAAAGAGCAGCCAAGCCTTTCGTGGCATACCCAGGAAAAATGTGCAGGATGCTCAGGGCACATGGTACACATACTTGTCCAACCAACAGTATTCACCCCAAAAAGAAAGAAAGATGAAAAAAAAATGAAGGAAGAAAAGGAATATAAGAAACAAAGTAAAAGAGACAGCTCAAATTAAATATGAACATTAGAAGATAGTTTTTAAAAATTCATAGAACAAAAAAGACAGAGGTAGAATATGAGTAGAAGAGGGAAGAAAGTAACCTGGAACTATAATCCAATAAACCACCTCAAAACAAGTCTAAATGCATAAATAATAACAACAACAAAAACAAAAATAGACAAATGAGGTTATGCAGAACTAAAAAGCTTCTAGGCAGTACAGGAAATAATCGACACAGTAAAGACACAACCTACAGAATGGGAAAAAATATCTGCACACTATCTGACAAAGCATTAATATCTAGACTATATCAGGAACTCAACAGCAATAAAAAAAAAGCAAATAGTCCAGCTTAAAAGTGGGCAAATAAACTGAGTAGAGTAGCTCAAAAGATACAGACAAAAGTCCTCCACATCATTAGGGATATAGGAACGAAATCCAAACCACATCCTGAGATATCTCACCCAAGATATGGCTATAATCAAAAAGATAAAACAAGTGCTGTCGAGGACATGGGGAAAGAGGTACTCTTAGACATTGTTGGTAGAAATATAAATTAGTAAAGCCACTATGAAAAAACTAATGCAAACTAAATCCTTAAAAAAAAAAATAAAGAAAGAAAAGAAAAGAAACACAACTATTGTGTGATGCAGCTATCCCATTCATGAATTTTTATTCAAAGGCAATGAAATATCAAATAGATACCTGTTCTCCCATATGTATTACAGCACTATTCAAAATAGCCAGGATATAAAATCAACCATTCATCAATAAGTAAAGAAAATACAGTAGATACACACAATGGAGTACTAGTCAGTCATCAAAAGGACACAGTCCTGTCATTTATGTATGAATACAACTGGAGATTAGTAATGTTGAGCATTAGGCAAGCACACAGAAACAAGGACCAAATATGATTTCACTCATATGAAGAATATAAAAAAGGTAAACTGACATAAATTGTTAGCAGAATAATTATTATCAGAGGGCAGAGGGTGAGACTGGGGTATATGGAGAAACTGCTTAATAATTTGCATTTATAGCTAGATAAGAGCTATGAATGTTGGTTTTCTATTGTGAATTATGATTATAGCTAATAGTAATGTATCACATAGTCCTAAATAGCTAGAGGAAAGAATTTTGAATTTTATCATGAAAGAATGATAAATGTTTGAGATGATAGGCAATCTAAGTATTATAAACTGATAAGAAAAATATAACAAAATACCCTCTTGTACATCCCAAAATATACAAGAATTTTTACCAATCAACAAAAAAGCTTTTTAAGACATTATTTGGGAGGAAAAAAGAAACAGATGATGATTTTAGATATAATTAAAAGAGACTACTCCTTAAAATTAGAATGATTTCCCAGGTTTTGAATAAGAGGAATGAAAAAAAGACCAACATCGAGAAATACTGTGATATTTCAAAACACTGGATTAACAGAAGATTTTAAAGGTTTTCACAGAAAAAATGTTCATAACTGGCAAACAGTAAAAGTGGATGTTTGGTCACTTACAATATTAGACTCTGACAGATAAAACCAAGTTCTTCAGAGTTCTGAGGGAATATTTTCCATTTAAAATTCTACAATGACACAATCAAATTTGAAATAAACATGTTGAAATGTAGGGATCTAAAGTTTACTTCCTGCATATTTGTTTAGGAAATTACATTAAGATATAATCAAGAGAAAAGGCAGTATAATGAAAAAGTGAGAAAATGAGAGAAACATTACCAGAGGGGATGAAAAAACAAGTAAAAATGTGGTGAGATAGGAAAGGTAGAAAATGTGTAAAAAAGCTGTAATCTAATTCTGAAGCTATGAAGTAGTCACTACAAATTTGAATAGGAATTTAATTGTACATGTAGATGAAGAGAATAGATGCTAGACAATAATTAAAATCAGAAATTGCTGTAATATTTACTATATTAAGAAAGACATATTTGCTACCACAAAAGGAAAAGAAGAAAACAATGAACATAAGAGGCAAGGTCAAGAAAAGAGGCAAATTAAAATGGAGCATAATTTCCATCAATCGGTGAAGAAAACAATTAATTATTCTGAATGCTCTCTTTTGTTTGGGGCAGGTGTCATACACAACTGTCCTACAGAAAAGTAGGACATAAATATAACCTCCTATTTTTGAAGGAATGCTATTATGTGGAAATAAATAATGTAAGTGCTGCTTATTTTCTTTCACATTTGTTAATTCTCTCTATAGACAGGGAACAGATATATTATGCTTAAGCTCTAGAATGAAAATGTATTAACTATGACAATATAGAAGTATTGCTGACAAAATTTGGCAGGTAAAAGAAAAAGAGAAGAAATGATAGGGAAGGTTGTGCTTACTGATCTTTATGTCAAAATCAGAAAACCAAGAAGTGTCAGCTACAGTTAATGGACAAGACATAACAAGAATGCTATTTATTGTTACAATGTTAATCAAAAGCAGAAATAAAATGTACTAAAAATCAGAAGAGGTGAGAGGATTTAAATCTTAACCTATCACAGCAAGAAATGTAAACATAAGTTCACTATATTAAATATTGCTTTAAGAATAAGATTTAGACTATAATCCCAGTGGCTCAGGAGGCGAAGGCAGGAGGATCACGAATTCAAAGCCAGCCTCAGCAACTTAGAGAGGTCCTAAGCAACTTAGATCCTGTCTCAAAATAAAATATAAAAAGTGCTAAGGAGATGGCTCAGTGGTTAAACACCCCTGGTATCAAAAAAAGGAACAAGATTTAGAGACATGAGGAGAAAAACAAAAAGAAAACACAAAGAAACAACAGTGATCATCTCTGCAGATCTTACAAACAGGTGAGTTGCAATGGTCAAGGACTGCAGTTCTTCATTTTAGTTCGTTTTTCTTTTCTTCTTTTATTAATTAAAAAGGAGCATGCAGTATAGCTGATGATTAAAGATGATTTTAAGAAAACTGAATATGAGCAGTGCTATAATCTGAGATTACTTAGCATAAAGTAAATATTTTAAGGGCACCATTTTCTCAAAGCAGAGTACAAAAACTGATCACTGTAAAGAATACTGTAAGACTGCATTTTGCTTAGTACATAGAAATATACACAGGATAGATTTTGTAATATTTTCTATGAAAATGGTCACAAATTTTGAAAATATTGGTAATTTAATAAGATTTAAATCACTGCTAATTCCCTGAAAAAATATTTACTGAGCATGAAAAAGAAAGGTGTAAGCTAGTCTCCAAG